AGATGGGTCTCAGACACGCCCACTCCCGGGGTGTGGGAGCTCTCCCCTCTGCACTCTGCCTTCTTCCCTCTGCCCTCTGCCCTGAGTGGGGGGAGAGGAGCATGCAGGCTCTCTCAGCAGGCTCCTGGTTGATCGGTCCTCCGGGGGTGAGCCGAGCTTGCTGTAGTTCCCAGTCTAGGAGAGTGACTAGGGCTTCTTATTGACTAGCTTTGTCTTAATTATTAACCCATAACTACTAATTATGTATTTCTACATGGTCTTATCTTACCAGAGAATGCCTGACTCTCGTCCTCTCTTCCCAGGCTCACATGAGACTCTTTCTGTCTACACTTCCCAGAATTCTCCTTGTTTCCTAGCCCTGCCTATCTCCCTGCCTGGCCAATCAATGTTTTATTCATCAACCAATAAGAGAAACATATAAAGAATAACATCTCCCATCACCCACCTCTTTAAGAGTGTGTGTGTTCTGTATGTGTGTTTCTATGTGTGTACATGCATATATTTACACATAGGCTCACACATGCATATGCAGTCAGGACAAGCTTGGACATCTCATTTTAGACAGTCTCATGTTTGCTAGCTGGCCCCTGAGCTTCTGGGGATTCCTCTGTCTCCTCACTTCTTGCTGGAGGAGTGCTGGAATTTCAGACTTGTACCTCATGTCTGGCTTTATGTGTGCTCTGAGATTTCAAACCCAAGTTCTCAGCCTTGTGTTTGTGTGACAAGTGTTTTATACACTGACGCATCTTTCTAGCCCCAGGGCCCACCACTTAAACACATTAGCACCTCCCAATAGCTGGCCATTAATATATAATGTATAATAACTAAGTCATTGATACATGGCCTCTAGGGCTAATTCAAAGTTATAGCAACAAGCAAATATTTGGGTCCACATTTCCAAATCTGGGTGTGTGTGTGTGTGTGTGTGTGTGTGTGTGTATGTGTGTATACACACAACAGTGGAGTTTCAGAGCCAGATACTATTAGAATTGGCATTTAGAAAGTGTGGGGACAACAGACCTTGGCCAGAGACCCACTTCCCCATCAGCCTGGGACCAGGCAGCTGTAAGACAATGTTTACTAAAAACATCTTTACTAAAAAAAAATACAGTGCCAGGGGTAATAAGTTCCTGAAAAGGGCTTGCCCATGGGAATGCCCTGACCTCGACCTTTCCAAAGACTAACCGCCTCTTCTGACCCACCCAACACAGTCTCTGGTGTCAGGGCAGAACCAGCCAGGGAGGTAAAACAGGGAGCAGAAGCCTTTCTGGAGGGAAGCCTTTCTTGGGAAGTTTTCTTGAGCCTTTTTGGGGCCTGACTAAAGTTTTCTTTACATCATTGACTGGTCTCTGTGTCATCAATCCCGACACCCTCCGCACATTCTCGGATACAGGCTGCGCAGTGGGTGGGGCAATTGGAGGTCCCACCGAGATCATGAAAGTGAGGTAAGTGGACAGGGTTAAGAAAGGATGGAGAATAGTTCCAGGAAGCTTGAATCATTACAGTATCAAGTAAAAAAGTTACTTAAAGGACAGGGGACTTCAGTCAAGTCTAAAACCCTAGAAGGCTTTCTAAAATCGATCGAACAGGCGAGTCCATGGTTCATTACTGGGTGAAGCTTAAATATCCCAGATTGTGAGGAGGTTCACCGTGATCTTCATCGACTTTTAAGAAAAGAGGGATCCGAGTCCTTGCCCCTACCACATTCTCCTTATGGAGATTAGTGAGGGGTGCACTTTTGACAGATAAGGTTCCTCACTGCCAGGTAGTTCAGGACACAAAAGAGGCTTTTTTAGAGTTACAAGAGACTGAGACTCAAGCCTCCTTGAGTTCAGGGGCAGAGAGTGAGGATGAATCATCTGAAGAGACCCTGCCCAAAACTAGAGGCTCTATTGTTAGTGAGGATGAGGAGTGTCACGTCTGCTGCGAGGCCTGTGTCCGAGAACGTGCGGAGGGTGTCGGGGATTGACAACACAGACACTCGTTCAACGATATAAAGAAAACTTTAAACAGGCTCCAAAAAGGTTCAAGAAAACCTCCTAAGAAAAGCTCCCACCAGAGAAGCTTCTGCTCTCTCCTCTCCCCTGGCTGGTTCTGCTCTGACACCAGAGGTGGATGTGTGTGGGTTTTTGAAGGTGCGGTTAGTCTTTGGACAAGGTCGAGGTCAGGGAGGTTTCCGTGGGAAGGCCTTTTTCAGGAACTTATTGTATCATTTTTAGTAAACATGTTTTTACTAAACATAGTCTACAGCTGCCTACTCCCAGGCAGAAGGGGAAGTGGGTCTCTGCTCAAGGTCTGGTGTTCCCACAGAGGAGGAGTCTCTTAGCAACAACAAAAAAGGGTAGAGATCTCGGGAAGCGACCCAAAAAGAAGGACTCCGGTCAGAATCGGTTATATCCTTCTCTGTCAGACTTAGAAAATGGAAGTAGCTCAGAATCAGACTCGCTAGAGTCTGAGAAGGAACGGTTACTTGCTGAAATTGCAGCCCTTAAAAAAGAACTAAAAAGCTGGGCGTTGGTGGCACATACCTTTAATCCCAGCACTCCGGAGGTAGAGGTAGGTGGATCTCTGTGAGTTCAAGGCCAGCCTGGTCTACAAAGTGAGTTCCAGGACAGTCTCCAAAACAATACAGAGAAACCCTGTCTCGAAAAAAAAAAAAAGAACTAAAAAAGACTCAAATTAAGAAAAGACAGGACAGGGAGAAAAACCCTCCTCCATATTCTGAAAAAAGGGACTCCTCCTATGATATGACCTAGTCATTCTTCGACCTTGAGGGAAGACCCAAAGGAGGGGTCTAATACTGCTCGGTGGTGTCCCCAATAATAGAAGTTCCAGACCCAAACAATTCTGGGCAGGTCATTCGGCGTCATGACCCTTTAAGTTTCAAAGACATAAAACAACTTAAAGAGGCAACTCTAAATTATAGAGCGCAGGCTCCCTTTACACTTTCCTTAATGGAATCTTTTGCGTCTCTTAACTTGACACCTAGTGATTGGCAGCAGCTTTGCCGAACGACTCTATCTGGGGGAGATTATTTGATTTGGAGGGGTGAGTTTCAAGAAAAATGCAGCCAGACAGCCCAAAGAAATGCACAGGCTAGACAGCCCCAGAGAAATGTGGAGATGCTTACTAGGAGTGGTCAATACGCCACCATTCAACAACAAATGCAATATGACATCACAGTCGATGCCCAAGTGGCAGCAACGGTCCAAGGTGCTTGGAAAAGCATTGCCTTCCAAGGAAGGATGGGATCACCTGTCCAAAGTCCTTCAAGGACCCTCCGAACCTTTTCAAGACTTCATAGACTGCGTCAGTCAGGTAGCAGAAAGAATATTTGGGGGCATTGGGCCTGCAACGCCAATCATCAAGCAGATGGCTTTTGAAAATGCAAATAAGTACTGTCAGGAAGCCCTTCGCCCCTATCACAACAAAAGTTTAAATGACTACATCCGGATTAAAGGCGTGTGCCACCACTGCCCAGCTTGTGTATGTATTTCTACCAATAGTTCCTAGCATCATTCTACTGGATACTTTCTATGAATCCCAATACCGTGTGCTAGTCTTTTCCCATTGACTTTGGTGGCATTTTGTTTATGATCTGACAAAGCTTACCTGAAAATTAGAGTTTAAAGCTAGCCACACTAGTTAGCCATGGAAGCCAGGTAGTAGTGGCACACACCTTTAATCCAGCACTCAGGAGACAGAGGCAGACAGATTTCAGTTAATCAAGGTCACCAGAGCTACATGAAATTAATCCAGCAAAAAAGAAAAACAGAGCTCACGAAAAGGTGATCTCAGCACTTGGTATCTCCTGCCTTTATTATTATTATTATTATTATTATTATTATTGGTTTTTCAAGACAGGGTTTCTCTGTATTGTTTTGGAGGCTGTCCTGGAACTCACTTTGTAGACCAAGCTGGCCTCGAACTCACAGAGATCCGCCTGCCTCTGCCTCCGGAGTGCTGGGATTAAAGGCATGTGCCACCAACGCCCGGCTTCTCCTGCCTTTAATCCCAGCACTAGAGAGGAATATAAAGTGAGAGGAGACAGGAGCTCAGTGCAGTCTGTGGTTTGGTGGAGACAGATGCAGTCTGGAGACTCAGTCTGAGGACAGGAGCATCCTTTCGGTCTGAGCATTGTGAAGGTAAGACCTCTCTAGTGGCTGGCAGCTTTGCTTCTCTGATCTTCAGCTTTAACCCCAATATCTGTCTCTGGGTTTTTATTATTAATAATAACTATAATTTGTACTACAGAATTGGCTGACACTCTTACTAAAAATCTACGGTCTGGTGGCCAGCATGATAGCATAGTCAAATCAAAGACTTGCTGTACAAACCTGATGACTTGACTCTGATCCCTGGAACTCACAGAGGAAACCAACTCCCAAAAGATGTCCTCCAATCTCTACCCTGCACACTGTGGCCCACACATTCATGTTCAGTGTCTATGTCTCTCTCTCTCTCTCTCTCTCTCTCTCTCTCTCTCTCTCTCTCTCTCTCTCTCTCTCTGTCTTCCTTTATCACACACACAAGCCCATATACACAGAAAAAAGAGTTTTTTGTTTTGTTTTTTTAGATTGGAGATGCAGGCCTGTGAGTTTGAGGCCAGCCTAGTCTATAAAGTGAGTCCCAGGACAGCCAGGGCTACACAGAGAGACCCTGTCTTGAAAAACCAAAAACAAGAAAAGAAAAGGGCATATGCCACCAAGCCTGAGGACCCAAGTCCAAATCCCAGAACCTACGGGATAGAAGCAGAAAACAACTCCTTTAAATTGTCTTCTGTGTTACACAAGAGTGCCAGGACATATTTACACCTTTCCACACCACCATCATACACACACACACTATGGGTTTACTTCTGCACATTTAACTATTTTTGGGGGAGTCTATATATTTTCTCCTGCCAATACCATACTGCCTCTGCCTCCCAAGTGCTGGGAGTAGAGGCATGTACCACCACTGCTTGGCCTTTAGGCAGATATTTTAACACAGATTCGAGCATGGAGGTTAACAGAAAGAGGAACATTCGTGGAAGGAATGAGGCATAAGCAAGTGCAGTGTGGCCTCCTCAATAGAGAGCTAGGCTTTAGTGTCTTAGCAGGCACCTATATGATTTTGGATGCTTCTCAAAGGACTGCTAAAAAGTTTTTCTTTCTCTTTCCTACTTTTTTTTTCTTCGAGACAGGGTTTCTCTGTATTGTTTTGGAGGCTGTCCTGGAACTAGCTCTGTAGACCAGGATGGCCTTGAACTCACAGAGATCCGCCTGCCTCTGCCTCCCTAGTGCTGGGATTAAAGGTGTGTGCCACCAATGCCCGGCTTCTTTCCTACTTTTTTGATAAATGAGATTATAGGATCCTCTGGAAGTGCTGGGATTAAAGGTGTGTGCCACCAATGCCCGGCTTCTTTCCTACTTTTTTGATAAATGAGATTATAGGATCCTCTGGAAGTGCTGGGGAGAGGATTACAATATGATAAAATTTAAGTTAGACAGAACAAAACAATGATATTTTTGTGGACTTCTTGTTTCTTATTGCTTTGTTTTAGTTGTGTTTTTGTTTTTTTGGTTTTTTCTTTTTGTCTTACTGGTCTTTTGCTTGTTTTGATTGTATTTTTTGTGGGTTTTTGTTTAGACAAGTCCTGGCTTTGTAGCCTAGGCTGGTCTGCAGTACATGATCACATGATCCTCCTGCCTCTGTATCAAAAATTATGGGATTACAGGAGTGTGCCACCACCAAAAGAAACTCAATAACTGATCTGGTACTACTCTTTCTCCACTTGTTTACGCAGTTAAGGGCTCTGTATCAAAATAAGGTGTGTGCTTTAAAGTGGGTATGATGGTCATAGAAAAATACAACTATAAAATGTATAGGTCAGGTGGTGAGTCCCTGTGCTAAGCGGCAGAGCCGGAGCTGGTGGGCCACCACGGATGGGGACGGCGCTCTCAGCAGCTATTCTCTGGGGCAAGTTCAAGCTTTTTATTCATTTCTGTTTCAACAAACGATGTGAAGCTCCTAATATGGTGGTCACGACTGAAGAGCAGATGTCTGTCGCGTCAGCCCGCGGAGCCTGTGTCCGAGAACGTGGGGAGGGTGTCGGGGATTGACAACACAGAGACTTGTTCAACAATGTAAAGAAAACTTTAAGCAGGCCCCAAAAAGGTTCAAGAAAACTTCCTAAGAAAGACTCCCACCAGAGAAGCTTCTGCTCTCTCCTCTACCCTGGCTGATTCTGCTCTGACACCAAAAACTGATCTGGGCGTGTCAGAAGAGGCGGTTAGTCTTTGGACAAGGTCGAGGTCAGGGCGGTTTCCGTGGGCAGGCCTTTTCTAGGAACTTATTGCCCCGGTCATTGTATTGTTTTTAGTAAACATGTTTTTAGTAAAACATTGTCTTATAGCTGCCTACTCCCAGGCCGAAGGGGAAGTGGGTCTCTGCTCAAGGTCTGGTGTCCCCACAGATGTCCACGGAAACTCCTGCCCAGGAACCTGTACCAGAGGCTCCAAACAGAAGGAAAAGAAAAGCCAGAGCGTCAGAACCCAAGGACCCAGTGGAACCCAAAAAACCTGCCCGGTCAAAAAAATCTGGCAAGTCGACAACGTCAAAACAAAAACAAAAACAAATTACAGACACATTTAAAGTGAAAAGACAAGTGGACCGTTTCAACGGTGTTTCTGAAGCTGAGCTTTTGACCAAGACGCTTCCTGATATTTTGACCTTCAATCTGGACATTGTGATCATTGGCATTAACCCGGGACTAATGGCTGCTTACAAAGGGCATCATTACCCTGGGTCTGGAAATCATTTCTGGAAGTGTCTGTTCATGTCAGGACTGAGCGAGGTTCAGCTGGATCACACGGATGACCACACCTTACCGGGGAAGTACGGCATTGGCTTCACCAACATGGTGGAACGGACGACACCGGGCAGCAAGGATCTGTCCAGTCAAGAATTCCGAGAAGGCGGGAGAATCCTCGTGCAGAAACTGCAGAAATACCAGCCAAAGATAGCGGTGTTTAATGGAAAATGTATTTATGAAATTTTCAGTAAAGAAGTTTTTGGAGTAAAGGTTAAGAACTTGGAATTTGGGCTTCAGCCCTACAAGATCCCGGACACAGAAACTCTCTGCTACGTGATGCCGTCTTCCAGTGCCAGATGTGCTCAGTTTCCTCGAGCCCAGGACAAGGTTCATTACTACATTAAGCTGAAGGACCTAAGAGACCAGCTGAAAGGCATCGAACGGAACGCAGACGTTCAGGAGATGCAATACACGTTTGACCTACAGCTTGCACAAGAGGATGAAAAGAAGATTAGGATTAAGGAAGAAAAGCATGATCCCGGCTATGAAGCAGTGTACGGCTGTGCTTATAGAGAAAACCCGTGTCAGAGTGAACCTTGCCGCTGTGCTTCAAACGGGCTAACAGCCCACAGAGCAGAGCTGAGAGGAGAAGCAGCTCCTGGGGGCTCTCCAGATGGGCAGTGGATGGCACCGTCGTTTTCAGACCAGATCCCGTCCTTTAATGACTGTGGGACCCGGGAGCAGGAAGAAGGAATGCTTGATGATGGTCTTCTGAGCTCTGCCTCAGCACTGCAGTTCTAATGCAGTTGTGAGGCCCCAGAGTACTTTACGTGAGTGGTGTAACTGTACTTGGAGCAGTTGGTGTGGTAGAGTCAACTGCGTGGACCTGTGTAGTTGAAGGGAAAAAAATAGATTGTTTTCTACCTGAATTTTGTATTTGAATTATCCATCATTCCATACTAGATTACATTTATGAAGAAACTGGCTTTTCGGGCTGGAGAGATGACTCAAGAGTTAAGTGTACTGGCTGCTCTTCCAGAGGTTCTGAGTTCAGTTCTCAGCAACCACATGGTGGTTCACAACCGTCTGTAATGAGATCTGGTGCCCTCTTCTGGCATGCAAGCATACATGCAGACAGAACACTGTACATAATAAATAAATGAATGAATAAAATCTTTAAAAAAAAAAAGAAACTGGTTTTCTTTGGGGACTCGGGCTTTGTTGTAATTTTAAGATGCAGCAGTCTGAATATTTATAGTTGACTCTTGACTGTACATACCTATATATGCCATTATCCCTCTTAACGCCTCAGAAGGGCATGCTAGTAAGAATCAAACTAGTAAATATGCCCATTTCCATGTAAAAAGTTAACCAACCCTCAGTGGAGTCTGGTTAGTTTTGGAAGTTGGGGGTAAACTCAGAACTCCTGGGTTGTAGTCACACTCTCCAAATGGTGTGTATACAGTTGCTTAGTAACAGAAACAGAGTGTGGCCTGAGCCCTGACTTTGGCCTCCCACTCCTGGGTGTTGGTCCTCTTAGAGGCAGACACTGCTTTGTTGAGAATGCAGTAGACCTTTTATAGTTTGCCAATCTTGTGTTTTATTGAATTTCCCCATCAGTCTTCATCACTGTTCTAATTTTATCCTTGACATGGGAAGTGGTAAGAAATGAACTTTCAGAGCCGGGCGTTGGTGGTGCACACCTTTAATCCCAGCACTTGGGAGGCAGAGGCAGGAGGATGTCTGAGTTTGAGGCCAGTCTGGTCTACAGAGTGAGTTCCAGGACAGGTTCCAAAGCTACAGAGAAACCCTGTCTTGACAAAACAAAAACAAAAGAGATGAATTTTCAGGGTGAGCAACACGATGCTGGAGGTGTTTGACAGTTCTGTTTAAACTGGAGTCTAGGTCAGGCTGTGTGTGAGTCATGCTGTTTTAAGGTGTACTGCACTGCTGTTTACATGAACATTTTGTGGGGTGCTCTGAAGTGCCTTGCATCAGGGACTAGGATCAATTGAATCATTTTTTTCATGGGACTGTGTAAAGCATGTAACTAGGTATTGCTTTGGTATATGGCTATTGTAGCTTTACCATAGATTTCCTTGAGTAGAGAAATACTTTAAATTATGACACTCTGGAGACGGGTGTGAGGGTCTTCCAAGTACAATCCCAGTACTTTTCACTGAACATGGCAAATAGCAGTAATGTTAATGTGTCCTGCGCATGACAGGATGGGATTTTTTTTCATTAAATAATGAAACTTTAGATTCATATGAAAGTCTGGATGTTTTTTACAATAAACATTAAGAATGACTATACATACTTAAAGTACAGGCTTTTCTGTAGCAAGACTTAATGGTATTCTTCCTCGCTCTAACATGAAGACAGTTTTTCTATTATATTTAACTTGTAGAGTAATTCTTGAGGAAAATCATAAAAACCCGAATATTTTATTTGTTCAGAAAAAAAGCATATATCACTGTTGATGGGAAAATTAATTATTCAACCCGTTCCTTGGTAGCTATTCTGAAGTTTTCCAGACACCCAAGAAGTGGCATTAGGTGGACACTGTGAACCACAGTGGTGCTAGGGTCATCCCTGTTGTTGTGATAAACACTGACCAAAAGCAGGTTAGGGGAGGGAAGGGTTAACTCCAGCTCACAGGTTACAGGCCTGCACTGTCACTGCGTCACTGCTGGAAGTCATGGCAGGAACCCACGCAGGAACTTACAACACAGACTGGAGGAACACTGTTTGCTGTCTCCCCCTGGCTCATGCTTAGCTATTGAGGTGGTTTGAAAGAGGAACATGCCATGGGCTCAGGTATTTGAACACTTGGTTCCCCCGTTGATGTTTGGGGAGGTTATGGAACCTTCAGGAAGTGGAGCCTTGCTGGAGAATGTGTATCGTCATGGACAGGTTTTCAGACACTCTCTACTTTCTCTGTGTGTTTGAAGATGTGATCTCTTAGCTTTCTGCTCCAGCCACCTGCTGCCATGCCTCCCCCTTGTTTCTTCCCTAAGTCACTTTGGTCTTGTTTATTTACAGTTCCAGGACCTCCTGCCCAGGAAATGGTACCCCCTCCCGGGGGCCACGCCCTTCTACATAATCATGACAATCCCCCACAGGCCAATCTCATTTAAGCAATCCCTTAATTGAGACTCCCTTCTCAGGTGACTCTAGGCTGTGACAAGCTGACAGGTAAAGCTAACTAGGACAATGATTAAACTGAGTCATGGTGTAAACCATGACATAACTGCAGCACAACTGGGCAAGAAATTAAAACTTGAAGACTGCTGTATCTAAGGAATTGAGCTTTCATGGCGTGGCAGCTGGGGGCAAGTAGATGACATTCACACAGCTCTACAAAAACAAGCACAGAAAATGCTGGGAGGTTGCTAAATAGCCTAGTGTGCTCTAGGAAACTTACCTACTATTTTCTTAAGAGAAGCAACATTAAAAAAAAAGTCCTGATTTTTATTTTATTTTGTGACAGAGTGTCACATATAGTCCTGGTTTAGCCTGGAACTACTTAGACCAGGATAGACCTCTGCCTAATTCTGACTCTGCAGTGTTGGTGTTTCAGGGATGGGGAATACACCCTCAGACAGCAATGAGTATGGGAGAGGAGATGTCATCAGTGGCCGAAGCCAAAATAGCTCTCGGAAGACTTCCATCTGCGTCGTTTGCCTCATTTTATATTCTAAAGCCACAAGCTGGGGCGAGTGATCAGACAAGCAAACAGAAACATAAGAACCAGTTTTTTCAGGGGTGGCTTTTGGCATTCAAAGACTTATGTAACAGTTGGCAGGTGTAAGCTTTTGTGATCAGGTTGCTAAGAGCAACGATCTATTGTTTGAGCTATTTCTCTACACAGGTAGCAAGTGAAGTCATGTTTGGCAATGTGTAGAGCAAGCAGAGTTCTAAGTAAATCAGTGTTTAATAATCACTCTTTTTTTTATTCTACCTCACTGGAATTAAAGGTGTGCACCACCATGCCCAGCCTCCATGTTCCTTAAAATCAACATATGACAGAGTTTAGTGGCATATATCCAAGTAACAAATGTCATTTTTGAAAAAAGTCCTCTTATTCTGCACCAAATCTTGCCTGTTTTGTGTAGCTCTGAGATGTAACAGCTTCTGTGAACCACATTCTTTTTTTAGTATTTATTCAATGTGTAAGTGTATGTATGTGTGCCGCATGTGTGCAGGAGTCCGAGGAAATCAGAAGAGGATGCCAGATCTTATGCAGCTGGAGTTTCGGTTTGCGGTTGTGAGCCTCCCTGTGGGTACTGGGAACTGAACTCAGGTCTTTTTTTTTTTTTTTAACTTATTTTAACATTATTTTATGTGCATTGGTGTGAAGGTGTCAGCTCCCCTGAAACTAAAGTTTCAGTTGTAAGATGGCACATGGGTGCTGGGAATTGAACCTGAGACCTCTGAAAACAGCACCCCATGCTCCTAACCACAGAACTATGACTTTAGCCCCCATGGTGAGCACTCTTAACTACAGGGCCAGATCTCAGCAGCCTCCCTCTTTTGTGGGTTTGGCTTTTGTTTTTTTGGGTTTTGTTTGTTTCAGAGGCAGGATCTCTCTATATAGTCTTCCCTCTCTTGGAACTTGCTACATAGATCAGGCTGGCCCACAGAGATTCACCTGCCTCTGCCTCCTGGGTGTTGGGATTAAGGGCATGCGCCACCATGTCCAGCAGGCCTTTTATTAATTTGTGTTTATTTCTCTTGTTGGGTCTCAAAATGTTCTTGTTACTCAACTGAAAGTCCTTTTTTTTTGTAATTTCTTATGCATTTAACATACTGGCTAAAATTAATATTTACATTTGTTAGAATAATGAAGTATTGAAGGGAGAAATCCTGCTTTAAGTAATTTAATTTCCGGTCTGATGAGCTATCAAAGTGTTAAGACACACCTGAAGTAATAAATTATGAATATGGGCCTTTTGGGGGGATGAAGAGATTTTCTCAGATTCTCAAAAAAGACATAGATCCAAAAATATTCTGGGTATGGTGTCATGTGACTTTAATCCCAGCAGAGGCAAGCAGATATCTGAGTCCAAGGTCATCCTTGTGTAAAAAAAGGGTTCCAGGCCAGCCAGGGTGACAGAGAATGTCTCAAAAACAAATAACATTGTGTTCATTTAAAATAATAAGACAAATCGTAACTTAATTTCAATGTCTTCTCAATAGACAAGTTAATAGCTTAAATTTATTTATGGTTTTGAGTGTGAAATGTGTCCCATAAACTCCAGTGTTTGGCTGGGCAATAGTAGCACTTGCCTTCAATCCCAGCACTTGGGAGGCACAGGCAGGTGGATCTCATTGAGTTCAAGGCTAGTGTGACGTACAGAGTGAGTTCTAGGACAGTCAGGACTGTTGCACAGAGAATCCCTGTCTCCAAAAACCAAAAGTCTAGTTTTAATATGTGATCTCCATCTGGTGATGCTATTTTTTGTTAGGTCTTGGAACCTTCTCAAAGGGAGGCCTGGTTGGCAGTCAGAAGGCTAGAGTCACAGAAGGTTATATAGGTCAGATCCACTTCAGGTGGACCTGAGCTCTGTTTCCTGATCTGCAGAGAGATGGAAAGCAAACAGCCCTATACTCTGGTTACCACAGAAGTTGATATCCTAGCCATAGCTTCCCTTCTATGATGAACTGTAGTCTCTAACCAAGAGTCAGAATAAAGCCCTCTTCACTTAAGTTGCTTCTGAAATCCATTGTCTTGCCACATTGAGAGAAGTAACTAATATCGTTTCTATTTTATTCTTTGGACCCTTTGTCCCACTCTTTTAAAAAAAACAAACTTTTTAAATGTGTATGGTGTTTTGCCTCCATGTATTGATGGTGCAGTACTTGAGGCCAAGGAAGTCCTTGGGACTGGAGTTAAAGATGGTGGTCAGATGCTATGTGGATGCTGGAACCCAAATTCAAGTCCTCTGTAAGAGCAGTCAGTGCTCTTAACTGTTGAGCTTCTCTCCAGCCCCTAGGGGAAAAAAAAATAACTGTAATTTTAGTTGAGCTTTTAACTACAAGCATACAGATACAAGATAATTAAGTCATTCTACTCGGTTAGTATTTTTTTGTTTTTTGTTTTTTTCGAGACAGGGTTTCTCTGTGGCTTTGGAGGCTGTCCTGGAACTTGCTTGGTAGTCCAGGCTGGTCTCGAACTCACAGAGATCCGCCTACCTCTGCCTCCCGAGTGCTGGGATTAAAGGCGTGTGCCACCAACGCCCAGCTCGGTTAGTATTTTTATGTATAAGTTTTCCCTGTATGTATATATGTGCATCATATGTGTGCAGTGTCCTTGGAGGCCAGAAAGGACATCAGATCCCTAAGAAATGGACTTATCAGCGTTTATACCATTCATGAGTGCTGGAGCTGATCCCAGGTCCTCTGTAAGAGCTCTTAATCACTGAGCCATCTCTCCAGCCCTCAGGTCATACTAAATCTTACAAGTATTAATCCTGCAAATGATACTGCATTGAGCATCTGCTGAAAGACATGCTCATTAATTGAAAAATGGAGCTTTCTTGTCAAAAAGGATTTCAACCCTGGTAGCTGTGTCACACTATACAACCAAGAGTTTTATACAGTAAGCAGAACCACTGAATTAAAGTCAGGAAACCCCAGTTTTTAGTATGTTTTATTGATAGTGAACCAGTTACAAGAATTAACATACAACCTACTACATTGGTAATTAACTGGATAAAGTAACTCATCTATAAAATAAAAGTCCCTGTACCAGGCTTTTTCTTTTAGGCTACCAACCAGCTCCCAAATCACAACACAGAGACTTGTTGTTAGTTATAAATACCCAGCCTAGCTTAGGCATGTTTCTGGCTACCTCTTTTAACATAAATTAACCACTTTCTCTCTAACTACCTTTTGCCTTAGGGCTTATTACCTTTCTTTATCTTACTTTTGCTGGTTGGCTGGCTGTCATCCACCTGGCTTCTGGCCCCAGGAGTGTCCCTCATTTTCTCCTCCTCTCATTCTTCTTTTCCCCTCTCAAGCCTAGACATCTCCTCCTATTTATTTTCTCTGACGGGCAGACCTGCCTATCCCTCTCCTGCCTAACTACTGGCTGTTCAGCCTTTTATTAGACCAATCAGATGCCTTAGGCAGGCAAGGTGAAACAGATGCAACACATCCTTACCTAATTAAACACACATCATTACACTGTTAAACAAATGCAGCATTTTTATGGGATTTCCTGTCTGGTTCTGCAGTTGCCTTGCCCCAAATGAACACAGAAGCTAATATATATACATTCATATTCTTATTTGGCTAGTTCTGTGTTAATTATTAACCCATTTCTATTAATTTATGTATTTCCACGTGGTCTTATCTTACTGGAGAAGGGGTCCAGACCTCTTACCCCTTTGCTGCCTCACATAGCATCTGACTCTGCCTACATTCCCCAGAATTCTCCTCATCTCCTGGACCGGCCTATCTTCCTGTCTCATAGGCCAAACAGTGCTTTATTCATCAACCAATAAGAGAAACATATACAGAAGGACATCCTCCTATCACAGCATAAACAAAAGTAACATACCTTTACACAATTAAAGTAATATTCTGCAGCATAAACAAATATAAAACATCTTTGCCTAGTTAAAATAATATTTTACAACAACTCTCTAATTTACAAGTGTATAAATGCATGGGGAGATGGCCATAAATAGCACCACTAGAAATGAGCTTTCTGTTAAGAGCAGTGTTTATGCACACCAAATGAAATGAAATGTAGATATTGATTGGCAACTAATACAAATTTTCCCTCTTGAGAAACCATACTAGAACACTGCAGGGGGTAAGAATTTTATTTCACTAAAAACGATGCTAAAAAGTTTTTAATTCTTCTGTTTCTCTCTTTCCATGTTCACTGTATGAGCTTCATCCACAGGTTTAGTTCCTCATCCTGGAGCACATTTCTCTGTCTTCTGCCAGGGTATAAAAAATGTGAGCATTCTGTCACTGGATAATAAACACTGAAGAGTTAGAAAGTTACAGAATGAAGACTGTGCTGAGTATAGGGCTGAGAGAGAGCTCAGTGTAAAGCACTGCCTAGCAAACAGGAGCACCGGAGTTAGAGCTCCGGTGCTGTGGAAAATCCTGGACACTGTAAAAATGTGTGCAGCAAGTACAGGTGGGACAACCACACTAAGGATGGGAAGGAGGGCGGAGTCAGGGCAGTAGAGCGGAGATACAGAGTGAAGCAAGATGGACACGCCAGACTGAGAAAAGGTACCAAGTCACATGGCAAAGCATAGGTAAGAAATATGGGTACATTTAAATGTCAGAGTCAGCTAGTAACAAGCCTGAGCCATCTATTGAGCATTTATAATTAATATTAAGACTCTGAGTGATTATTTGGGAAGCAGCTGCCTGGAAGGGAAAACCCCACCTACACTCCAGAACTCAAGAAAAGAAGCTATACTCACAACATTGGGATGTGGAAACGGCTAGATTAGGGAAGGTGCTGGCTAGCCAGCCTCGCCTAAATGGTGCTCTCCAGGCCAATGAGAGATCCTGTCTCTCAAAACAAGGTGGCTAGCGTCTGAAGAACAACACCCACACTCCCTCTGGCCTCCACGCATGTGCACCCGTGTGGCCCACACATGCAAGCATATATACACACAAAATTTACACAAAACATACAGACTACAAACATCTGGTCAAAGTATCATGCTTATGTATCATGACAATTATACATAACTGTCAAGAGGTAAACACATTTTCACATATTTAGTCTATTTCTAGACTTTCCCTTATAGTACCATAACAAAACAAAGACTAGAGGAACAGAACACAACTCAAGAGGATCATGGGAAATATACAAATACCGTAATACATGAGAAGTATTTTAGAGAAACATTTTCACTACTGCCCTCAAAAACCCATTACATTCATTAAATGCCAACTTTTAAATATTTTCAAGCTTATAGTTAAAACTATTTAAAAAAAACAAGGAAGGTAGGAAAGAAGGGGGAGGGGGCGGGGAGACGGCACAGGAGCATAGGCCTCTATTCTGAGTACTCTGGAGCAAGGACAAGAGGATCTTGAATTTGAAAGCAGTCTAGGCCCCTGGGCCTCGGTTTTTGCCTCACCTCAACCGGAGCCTAGCAGCCACATAGAACTGGTACTGACCAGGGGAATCTGACTGTTCAATTAAAACAAAGCATAGCAAAGGCCCTTGGCTGGTGTTGACACGATGTGTTTTCTGCCCAGTGCTCTGAATGTCAAAATGAAGCAGTCTAGGCTACAAAATAAATCCTTGTCTAAAAAAACAAAATAAAACGAAACAAAAACAAACAAACAAACAAACACACACCTCGGGGCTGGAGAGATGGCTCAGAGGTTAAGAGCGCTGGCTGCTCTTCCAGGGGTCCTGAGTTCAATTCCCAGGAACCACATGGTGGCTCACAACCATCTACAATTCAATCTGGTGCCCTCTTCTGGCATGTAGAACAGTGTGTATGTAATAAATAAATCTAAACAAAAAAACCGCAACAGAAAATTTAAACGCTAAACAAAACAGTTTGATGCAGAGGTTTACATTTCAGCCCACCGGTGGTGATGCACGCCTTTAATCCCAGCACTTGAGAGGCAGAGGCAGGCGCAGGCGGATCTCTGTGAGTTCAAGACCAGTCTGGTCTACAAGAGCAAGTTCCAGGTAACCTCCAAAGCCACAGGGAAACCCTGCCTCCAAAAATAAAAACAAACAAAACAGTATTACTTGACAAAACAGTAAATACATGATTTCTTTGCTGGGGGTAATGACACATAGCTACTGCCCCAAACACATGGTAGGCTAAGGCAAGAAAATCGTTCAAACTCAGGAGTTCCAGACTAGCCTGGACAAAACAGCAAGTCTCCCATCTCAAAACAAGAAACAAAACCCCCAAAACATTACTTCTTGCTGGAGAACAAGAAGTAAAATGAATCCCCAAAATATTTTGGGGATGACATTACTTTTCATGAGAAGGCAACAAAAAATGTACAGTTATATCCAGTGAAAAAAGAATTGTCCTTCTGATAAAGTGAAGGATATTATCAGGTTCTGATAAAAAAAATACAAAAAGTTAGCAACTAACTTTTTAAAAAATATAATTGAAAACAATATTTGAATATTCTTTTAGAGGAATACTGATTATTTTTGCAAATAAGGATTTTATACTAAGAAATTACTTTACAAGCAGGCTTTTTTGTTGCTGCTGTTTCCACTTTCAGTGAGCTTACAGTCATTCTGTACATCATAAACATTTGGTAAACCAAATATATATATTCCAGAGGAAGGAGTGTGAGAGTGTGTGTGTGTGTATACATATGACAGATATATGTAGAGAAACCTCAGTAGAGAAACCAAATGCTTCCCAAATTGCATTTAAGAAAAAGTTTATTAAAAATTCAGTGTTGACCTCTTTATCCCACCACTCGGGAGGCAGAGGAAGGTGGATCTCTGGGAGTTCAAGACCAGCCTGGTCTACTGAGGGAGTTCCAGGACAGCCTCCAAAACAATACAGAGAAACCCTGCCTCAAAAAACAAAACGAAACAAAAAATTCAGTGTTAGGGCTGGAGAGATGGCTCAGAGGTTAAGACCACTGGCTGCTCTTCTAGAGGTCCTGAGTTCAATTCCCAGCAACCACATGGTGGCTCACAACTATGTGTAGTGAGATCTGAGGCCTTCTTCTGGTATGCAGGCACACATGAAGATAAAGCACTTGTATAAAATAAATAAATAGATAAATAAATATCAGTGTAATTTAATATTAATTACAATGTAGTGGAAATCTACTACATTGTTTTGAATAATATTATCTTCCAAACCACTTTCTAGTAATTGCTACAAAAGCACTTTCCAACCATAAAAATTTAAATTCAAAACCTACAGCATTTGCGGCACTAGACAGAATATAAAATTAAGAGGTAAAATAAGGAAACATAAGCATACTATCAAACCTCGGGATCTGGGGCACAGTAAGTTGTTAAATAATTTGAGTGCTAAAATTTTTCACACTGACTTATGGATTTCAAACATTAACTTTTCTAAACCAAACTTTCAATTAACACCCTTATGACCTCATGAAATGGTAAAGGTACCTTGTTTGAAAGTTCTACAGCAAACATCACTGGTCTTGTGAATTTTACTGATGTGTTACCTACAACCCAAAATTTTCATCATAAAAAGAAGTTGAACTTTCTGAGTCACAGTACAGCTCACCCAACCCACCTAAGTCCCAACTGATGCTAGCTTCTCTAGGTACTGCTTCTTCTTCAGCCAGGAAACTCTGACCAGTTTCAAGGCAGAAAGGATAAACACCAGCTGAGGCAAAAAAAAAGAAAAGAAAAAAAAATTGGGTCAAACTTCAAGAGGCCTAATGTTGTAACTACATTAATCTACTGGTCATCTCCACTGTCACAGTCACACACAGTCACCCTATTCTCCTTCCACTGTGGTTACATGATGTGATAAGCAACAATTTCTAGTTATGTCCCAATACCAAAGTATATGGACATAATTAATAGTCTCCATTGTGCACTAACTGGATTGTAGATCCTCATGACTGGGATGTCACAAATACAAGAGATCTCATCATTGAAGACACAGGCTTCCCGAAAGTCACTTCAGCCAGATCCTAACAGAACAAGTGTGTACTGCTGAGAGCACATCATTAGGTCAAAAGATATAAAGGAATCCGGTAGGTGAGCCACTAATGCCCACCGGTTCCTCTGAACAATGTAGCATTTCACTTCAAGTTAGCTCCTGTAATCCATCTAGACACTAAAAATGTAAAAGCAGTCATCCAGATACGCCCCATCCATGCCCTCCCTGCATAGCAAGCCATCCGCCAGTGGATGCCAACTATTTTGGACTGGTTTATATACCCATAGGTCTTTCCTGGGCTGGGCAGAGAGATAGATGTCATGGTCTGGAGAGACACAGACAGCTAAGGTAGTGACAATTCTATCGTGAGTAAGGCATGCCACAGGTGAGGGCACTTTGTAAATCTCGCCAGAGTATGGGTCACAGCAGAGAAAGGGATGCTTGTGATGGCCAAAGATTATCATTCTCTTGGCCCACATACTTAATCTATGGGGCGGATTTTCTTCTGTAAGGACAACAGTGGGGCTGGTACTCTTATTATTGCTGCTATTGCTATTGCTGCTGTTGCTGCTGCTTGTCACCGGCACCAGAGACTTCTGCAATCCAACACCAGAACGCAGCTGCAGGAGGGCCCCTTCAATAACCTCCTGGCAGTACTTCTTGACAACAGGCTTGGTCAGCAGCCCTTCCAGGTAGTCCTGATCTTCAGCAGGGAAGTGCGCCCACCGCACACACTTGAAGACTTCCGCAGCACTGGGGCCCCGCTCTTTGGGAGCAGCCTCCAGCCACTGCGCGGCCACGTGGCACACCGTCTTCTCGCTGTCCACATCCAGGCTGTCCAGACGCAGGACGGCCAGCAGCTGCGCCAGGCTCAGGTCCGCCAGCGTCTCCTCCCGAACCGAGCCCATCCTGCTCAGCTGCTTGAAGTTGTGAGCTATGAAGGCCTGGGCCTGCGAGCGCAGCTTGTGGTGGTCGAAGGCGTCGGCAAACTTGAGGATGGCCGTGCAGTTGGTCAGGTCGAGCCTGCGGGCCAGGAAGGAGGCGCAGGCTTCGCGCACGTACTCCAGCTGCAGCATATCCGAGGCGGCGTACAGGCGCTGCACGTTGGCCTCGCTCAGGGACACGCGGCCCGTGTAGCAGTAGTCCACCAAGACCTCGAAGGACTCGGCGTCCACGTCGTGGATGGTCACGCTGGCCTGCTGGCTCTCGTACATGCCGCCCGTGAACATGCTCTTGAAGTAGGGGCACGCCGCCGCCAGCACGTTGCGGTTGCACGAGAAGAGGCGCCCCGTGCCGGCCCCGCTGCCGGGCGTCACCACCTCGATGGTCACATCGCACAGCAGCCGCGCGTCGTAGAACGACTTGAGCTGGGCCAGGAGGGCTGCAGAGTGGGCCGTGTCCTTTAACTCCTCCGGGCCCGTGAAGAAGGCCGACACCGAGGGCTTGGAGATCCTCTTGGGTCGCCTCCCGCCGCGGGGGCTGGAGAGGCGGCGAGAGCGCGGGGCGTCTTCCCGGGACTGCATGGTGGAGATGGCGGCGGGGCGCCGGGGACGAGAACGGCTGCAGACGCCCGGCTCCTCCTCACGCCTCCCTCGCCGACGCCGACACAGCGGCGTCCCAGGGCAGACTGGAGCATGGGTCGCGCTTAACTCGGTCTCACGCCGCGGTGCCGCCTTCCTCTGTGGCGTAGCCCGCGGCCAGATTCCTCACAGCGGCGCCGGATCCACCGCCAAAGCGGCCAACCGGACGCCGAGGATGCAAGCAGGAATCAGGATAAAATTACAGGTTGCTTTTGGCGCCTCGAGGCATGACGGGAGTGTCCAGGTTCTTGGGCGGAAACTGAGAGACTTGCAGCCGCCTTGCATATTGGGAGTTGTAGTTCATCTAACGTCGCTAGCCTTGGCGTTTCATTGTTTTCAGGCTGCACTAGACTGTCCCAGTGTTTAGGGGGGTTCTTTTAGCGTTCAGAACTTACGGTTTGGGACACTCCTTTATCTCTCGGTTCTAATATGCCGTTTGCTTTTCTTTTGCAAAGCGTCACTTGTTGTGTGTGATGGTTTTTACTCTATAGACTTGAGCTCCTTTGGGGGTCCCGCCACCCAGCCCCCAGGGAAATCACTGGTTCTTAGTTATGAATGTTCGGCCTTAGCTTGGCTTGTTTCTAGCTTGCTTTTCTTATCTTAAATTAACCCATCTACCTTTTCCCTCTGGGCTTTCATCTTTTCTTCTGTACTTTCCTTCTTACTCCGTGACTGTCTGTCTGTCTGTCTGCTGTCTGGCTGGCTGTCCCCGCCTCCCGCAGAGCCTCCTCTCCTTGTTCTCTCCTTGCTCCTTTTTTTCATTGGTTCTCCTTCTGTTTATACCCCCTGCCTGCCAGCCCAGGCTGTGCTTGCACCTGCCTTGTTATTGACCAGCCTTCAGCTCTTTATTTGACCATCAGGTGTTTCAGACAGGCAAAGAACCACAGCTTTACAGAGTTTTTTTTTTTTTTAAAGTGCAGCATAAACAAAAGTCACATATCCTAAAATAACATTCTGCCACAATCAATAATAGTATTTGATAAGATTGCATGACATTGAATTGAATATAGAACGCTTACTAGTTGGTTTTACAAAGTAATGGAGTACGCAATTCTTGGAATATAAAGGCCAGGGAGCCAGGCAGTGGTGGCACACGCCTTTAATCCCAGCACTCAGGAGGCAGGGGCAGGCAGATCACTCTGAGTTCGAGGCCATCCTTGTCTACAAAGTGAGTTCTAGGACAGCCAGGGCTACACAGAGAAACTGTCTCAAAATACGGGGGGGGAAGGCCAGGAAGTTTTAGTGTTTTTTAAAAAGATTTATTTATTTTATGAATATGAGTGCTCTATCTGCATGTACAGTTTTATGCCAGAAGAGAAATCAGATTCCCCAAAAGATGGTTGCTGTGAGCTGCCACGTGGTTGCTGGGAATTGAACTCAGGACCTCTGGAAGAGCAGCCAGTGCTCTTAACCACTGAGCCATCTCTCCAGCCCCCATGAGTCTTAGTTTTTCTTCCAGCATTTATTAAGAATGAAAAAAACACCAATGATTTGATATTAATCTACAGAAAAACACCTTCCAGTTTCTTCAGAAATATTTCTGGCTTGGTTCGTTCATTTGAATGGATTTCATTTTTAGAACACTTTTAGGTTTGTAGGAAAAACCTACTAATACCTCTTAATGCCCTGTGATTAGTACAAGATTTTTTTAGAAATGATGAATGACTATTGAAGCATTAATATTAAAGTATACAGCTTATATACAAGTTCACTCTATGTATTTAACAAATCTACAGGTTTTGACAAATTCATGAAGTGTCCACTCTTAACAGTGTCGTACAAAGAGGCCTCACTGACAGAAATCTTTGTTCCACATTTTTATTCCTTTCTCCCTCAAATGGTGATGACTGCCACCTCTCATTCCTATGCTGGAGACTGAGCCGGAATCTACAGCATGCTATGAAAGTGCTCCATTATGAACTAATACCATCAATCCATCCACTGAACTGTTTTTGCTGCTATTGTTTTGAGAATTATCTAGACCATGATTTCTCTCTCTTAAAGATCAGACTTAATTCCATCAGGAGTTGAAACCAAGACATAGTTGCTCTTGATGAAAATGGATCCAGAGGATTGTCACTATTGCCTCTCCCACAATTGCTATTTCTAATGAAGCTAACTGCAGTTCCCTGAATTCTGCTTCCATTATCTACATTTCAAAGTCTCAAGTCCTCTGGAGCTTCTGCAGACTCTAATTGTTCAGTAGCCCTTTCCTTTTGTACATACCAGAAAGAAAGAGTTGTTCTAGGGACAATCACACCGCGTGCGCGCGCACACACACACACACACACACACACACACACACACACACACACACACACACACCAATGGAAGTCAGCCGCCTGTTGGGTGTCTTACTTTTAGATCCAGCTGTTCAAGGGTTAACCCTGCTTGCTTGTATGAAGTTGCTGCCATCAGAGCTGACTCAGGTATGAGTAATACACTAAGCCTTTATTTACCCCATGCATTTCAGACCTTTGAAGTCACTCAGTGCACCAGACCTACTTCCCATGAAATCCTACTGTCTTCCACTCCCGTTATAATTTACTATTGCCCCCGACCTGGATGCTTCACTCTTCCTTCCTCCCTTCCTTCCTGCCTCCCTTCCTTCCTTCCTTCCATCAATTTTCAAAATGGGCTGCCCTGGGCCACTGAAATGGATCAGTAAGTAAAGGCACTTGCTGTGTAAATCTGAAGATCTGAATTCTACACCTACATGGTAGATGGAGAGAACAGAAAGTCATGCTGTGCTAGGTGAGTGCACACAAAAAAATAAAATATTTTTAAAAAATAGAAACTCCCAAAATGAAAGGGAACTCTGGAGACTCAAACATTTTGTTTTCCTGTAGGCTCATAATTTCTAGTTTGTGGTGCTTCAACTTTTATTAATGGCCCTTGCAGGCAAACTCAGTTCTCAGCAGGCAGGGACAGGAATATCTCACATTCAAAAACAGCTGACGATCTAGCTACACAGAGAGTTCCAAGACAGCCTAAGCTCCTCAGGAAGATGCCTAGCTCTAGTGATCTGAAACAGAGTTGTCACTCTGTATCCCAGCTGTGAAACTGTACAATCCTCTTGCCTAAACTTCTATTCTAAAGACAACCGATGACTTTATCATCATCAAATAGTTTGTACTCTTTCTTCCTCCAACATCACCAAAATTTCCCCCCAAAAGCATTGGTGTAAACTTTTTCATTAACACTTCTTACATCTGGGGCACAAGTAGGGGAATTTTCAGGAAAATACAATCTTACAGATTTTTAATAACCTACCTGAACTTAAATCAGATCATGTGACTAAACACATAGCTCTCGCCCTGGTAGTTTCATGATGAAATACTATACTTCCTAGCTTCTCTTGTGGCCAGGCAAAGCAATTCTGGAAAGGAGGGACTGTAACATATGTGGTAGTCATTTCCACCCCTATAAAGGGTCATAATCATCTTTTTCCTGCAAGCATCGTTCATCCATCCATGTGGATTAGAATGTGCCCCCTTGCTATGAATAAACATAGTCCCACCTAAGATCAGACGCTCCTTTCTTTTTCTCTCTCTTTCTTTTTCTTCCTTCCTTCCTTCCTTTCTTTTTCATTTTCTGCCTTTCTGCCTCTTTAAGGTACCTTAGAAATGTAACACACCTAACCTTGCATGCTAGCACAAATCAAGAGGCTTAATGTTGGCATTGAGGAGATGGCTCATTTGCAGGTGACCTGATTTTAGTTCCCAGCAGCCATGCAGGGCAGCTCACAACAGCCTGTAATTCCAGCTGCAGGTGATGCACCACCTCTGGCCTCATTCTTTCATGGTAAGCACTTTACATTCTGAGAAGTACACCATTGGACAGTATTGTCATTGTACAAACATCAAGGAGTATATTTCATGCTAGAATAGATTTTTTCTATGCTCAGGCTAGCTGCTGCCATTCATTGCATCACCTGACTAATTTTTACAGTCTCGAATCAGAGCATTCCTCCTGTCATGTGCCGAGTCGTTCTGCCACAGATTCTGCACATTATGTTGCATGCTGACTTCCACAAGTGTTGGGAGTGTGAAGGTCTTTGTACCCACAGACCCCCAGGGGAACCAGGAATGTTAAGCATGCAGGATTGTCTTTTCAATGAAAATGATGTAAAACCTGTTCTTCCATCCAGAAATCTGAGAATCAGAGGTGATGAATAGCCTGGTGATCTGTATTATCTTTTGGGCTAGGGCATACTTAAGCTCCCTCAACCAGGACCTGAGATATCTAGTAATTTCAATGACCCTTACATTATGTGTACAGTCAGGGGCTTGCCCCAAGCTTCCACAACCAGGACCAGAGGTGGCTAATAGCCCTTATGACATCTACGTTATCTGTATGACTGAGACCAGGCCAGGTCCTTCCTTAGGTCCTTAAGCTAGAACAAGTAGCCTATCTCCAGAAACCATCTTCTTGGAAGAAATGACATGAACTTTGAGCTAAGTGTCAATATACTTATGCTGGGCTGGAGAGATGGCTCAGCCCTTAATTAAAGTCTAGGCTCACAATCAATATATTTATGCTTTCTTGTGCACAGGGGATTATGCACCAAGAAACTTTTTTTTCCAAATTATATTATGTTTAAATATGCTGACAACAAACTACCTGATTTCTTTTCTTTTCTCCCAGATGTCTTTGGTTCTACCCAAGGTCTCTTGGGTGGCCCAGTCTCTTGGTTCTTGGATATCCAGGGAACATTGAGCATGGGCTCCCTCTTGAAGAGTCTCATGTATCCTAAGCGGACCACAAATTTCCTACAAAGAATTGTTATTTCTTTCCCTCCAACTTTGACTTATTCTTTAGCCACATAACTTATTTGAAGGAAAAAGAAGTCAAAACAAATAACAGAACTTTGACCTTCAAAAAAAAGTTTTCCCTCAAACTTTGGCCCACATGAAAACTTGAATTAGTGATCCCCTTGCTTCTACCTCCCCTCAAGTGTTGGGGTTACGGGTATGTGACACCATGACTAGTAGCTATCTACTTTTAAAAAGTTAGATCAAAAATTAACTTTGATTACCTGGTGTGGTAATCATAAAATAAAGTAGAACAGATTTTTTTAAAAAAAACAGACGAAAAAGACTTAGTTAAAAGTAAGCAATGACAGTAAAGAAAAAGACTTAGTTAAAAGTAAGCAATGACAGGAAAGCCACCAGAGTATTCATGCAGAAGACCTAGGCCCTAGC